TACAATAACGCTTTCCCAAAAATCAGAATAAACGTCTCATTATTACTTTTGTAAGCTGATATAGAACAGCTGCTTCTCGTGCTCCGTAAATCTAGCGTTCAAGCACGCGGAAATCGTATGTCCGCAGTCGCGTTCGCGGTCGCGCCGCGTACACAGAAGAACGTCGCGTACGCAAAGCCGGCAGTTTTCGTTGATTAAGTTCGCAAAGGTCGCGTTAAAAATAGGAAATTATAACGGGACTGCACGGGGGCGATTATAAAGGGGATCGTAACGGGAATATCGCCTTAAGCCCGGCAGAAAAGAAAATAGCCGTTCGTTGCAGAAATGTATCGCCGGCATAAGCGAAATCGTGGCTCTATCGTTGTCGCGGCCGGTTCGGTTTATCGTCCGAAGTTTGATCATTTGCATAGATTAGTTATGGCCGTCTGGGGCTGGGAATTCGCCCTCGCGGATGCCGGGGCATTCAGGGTCCGCCGGGACAGTGGAATAGGTGAATTTAGGTCAGCCGGCCGACGCGCGATAAAGAGCGCTGTGGCAAACAGCGCCACCATGATCCGGCAGACGCGCGATCCCGCGTTGCGTTCCATGCCGCTTCTTTTGTGCGCGACATCGGGACGACACAAAGGATTTAAAAATATTTCTCTCCGTGCTTCGAAACGTCGAAAACCGGGCGCTCGCCGGGTGCCGATAGGTGCCGTTTTGTTCGCGCGTCGCCCCCACGGCCCCCGGAAATTATGCCCGGCGAGACTGTGAACCTCGCTGTCATTCGTGACTCGAACAAATGTCTCGATTTTCGGGGAAATGCGGACTGTCGTTTCGTTGCTGCACGCTGGCGTGATTTTTTGACAATCGAATCGGCTCTAGTTTTTAGCGAGAAAATTCGCAGGGATTCGAAACGATGCATCGCGCACAGCGTGTGCGGAACGTTCAAGCTACCGATTAATCCAGTCCGATCAATTAGCCCGTACCGACAACGCGAAACGATACGTGGACGCAAGTTAAACGTTAAATATGTACGTTGCGTAAATATAAGATGATGTAAGATGTACCACTTGCGCCTTCATAAATATAAATTAACTTTTGTGAACTAGATTCGACGTACTATTTTAGGATATCGATCGTTCCAGCTACTTTAAATCGAAGTAAACCTAGACGGAAGAACGAGGAGAAACATCGCTTTGAAGTTTCCTCGTTAAAATAGAAGTTCCTGGCGCTAGAAATCGTTTAGACTTTCTTATACAATGACAGGAATTCGTGCCGTTCCGAATGGACTATTCGATCAATTTTACCTTTCGCGTCGAGTTCCAGCAATCAGCAGATTTTTATATTGGAACTGTAGGATTATTTATATATAATTAGATAAAATATGTAACTAAATTTTTATAAATGATTATAGGAGCGATAACTGTAGGAATAATCCTCATGTACGATTCTGTAAACTTTTTCAAATGGATATAGGATTATTTATAAATAATTAGGTAAAATATGTAACTAAATTTTTATAAATGATTATTGGAGCGATAACTGTAGGAATAATCCTCATGTACGATTCTGTAAACTTTTTCAAGTGGATATAGGATTATTTATAAATAATTAGATAAAATATGTAACTAAATTTTTATAAATGATTATAGGAGCGATAACTGTAGGAATAATTCTCATGTACGACTCTGTAAACTTTTTCAAATGGATATAGGACTATTTATAAATAATTAGATAAAATATGTAACTAAATTTTTATAAATGATTATAGGAGCGATAACTGTAGGAATAATTCTCATGTACGACTCTGTAAACTTTTTCAAATGGATATAGGACTATTTATAAATAATTAGATAAAATATGTAACTAAATTTTTATAAATGATTATAGGAGCAACAACTATAGGAATAATTCTCACGTATGCATTGAAATGCAATTTTATATTTTCTTTATACTATCACGAACGTTGGAACGCGTTTAAATAACGTTCAAAGTGAACGGAACGCCTTTAACGCATTCATTTCGCCGAACATTTTGTAGAACTACCTCACTTTGTCGCGCGATAAAAAAAAATCTAATTTGAAGCTTTCCCTGACGCTTTCCAAAAGAAGATTATCCGCTGCGTCGCACGATGTCGATAGATTTTGTTCCGGGCCATTAATTTCGAAAATAAATTGAAAAATTTCCGGCGAAATTGACGCGTCAAAGTTCCCCTTACACAATGTTTAAACTTGATTAAACGGCCGTAACGCGATCAAAAAATATATCGTGGTTCTCCGAGCAGTGTCGCAGAATCGTTGCGAAAGAATTATTAACTGCTTTCAGATTTCTTTTCGGCGCACAAATTTCGATGAAATTTTCCCCGAGAATCGATCGCCGATTTCGGAACGCAAGATTAATGTTGCGCGGCACTATTAATGCTGTGTTTAGGATACGAGATAATAACGAACGCAGCTACGATACACTTCCCATGCTTTTCCCCGATATTACCGACCCGGTTAGCTCCGCGAAACTTTCTGATCCTGCTGCTCTGGGCGACTGTGTATTCGATACATTTTTTTTCTTTTTCGGGCCAGCCAAGTATTAGATTAACGTAGTTGCTCCGTAATTCTCGGAAGTTTAATAAAGATACGCCGCAAGAGGGAACCGTCCATCGCTTAAAAACCCTCGAATTTTCGAACAGCATTCCAGGCCATTACCGTCCATAATTTTTCTCAGAAACTTTTTAACAAGTTCCCCCCGCGGCCCAACCATTCTTGATTTGAATTTTAAATTACGAATCGCGGAAAAATAGTGTCCCGGACGTGCCGATTCTCGACAATCGGAAAGGTTTAACTTCTAGCCTAATTCGTGCGTCGCCAATTACAACTGAAATCGGTCTTTCTTTTGCTTTCGAGATTGCTAGAGATTAAGGTCGATGAATATTCGATGTTCTTCTTCAAAATGATAATTTCTAATGAATTTTAACTCTGGTAAAAGTATACCTTTTTTGGGAGAAACTGTTCAATAAATCAATTTATTGATGCACAGTAAATTCTTCCTAATTGACGCTCGGATTGCGCATAAATATTGACAATTTGGGAAGAGAAGATACGATCGTTGGAGCCTTGCGGCTCGTTTTTATGGTTGCTGACGATCGGTAACTATAGAAACGAGTCTCTTCCCGAATTGTCTACTTTGTGCATCTTTTTCTATATTTTTCTTCTATTTTTTCCTGTACTTCGATACTAATTCTTCACGATACAGTAATGTCTCCCCAATTGACGCTCAGGTTGTCCACAAAAATGGACAATTTGGGAAGAGGAGCCTTGCGAATTCGAGCCTCGCGACTTGTTTTCATAGTTACCGATTTTCAACAATTATAAAAACGAGCCGCAAGGCTCGAATAATCGTATCTCCTCTTCTCAAAT